GTTGTACTAATTTGCAGCTCCCCAACAGTGTGTAAGTGCTTCTTTCTGCCTGCATCCTCACCGGCATTTATTGCTTTTGGGCTTTTTAACAAATGACATTGTAACTGGGTTAAGGTGATATCTCATTGTGGCTTTAATTTGCATTTACCTGATGATTAGTGATATGGAGCATCTTTCATATGTTTATTGGCCATTTTTCTTTTTTTTGCGAAGCTTCTATTTATGTCTTTTTCCCACTTTTTAATAAGATTGTTTGTTTTATCTTGCTTATTTGTTTCAGTTCTTTGTAAATTCTGGATGTTAGCCCTTTATGGGATATGTAGATTATGCATATTTTCTCCTATTCTGTAGGAATAGGAGTCAGTAGATGCAGTAAAAGGGTGTGCAGAATGACCTCCCTGTCAGTAGGTGGCACTTGCTGGGAGGAGCAAGCTGCAGTGCTATTTTTGGGTCCTGTAACCAGCTCTTGTTCCTCTGGAGAGGCCCTCTTGTGTCTCGGGTGGTGGGTGGGACCCTGGGACTTCCAGGTGTGTCCTTATTTTCCACCTCAGTGGGGGCAGGACCGGGAGTTAGTCTGGGCTGGGGTGGGTTGGTTAAGCCTGCCCTCAGGCTCCACAACTGCTGTTAGCAGGGGTCAAAGCTGTGCTCTTTGTTTCAGTGCAAAGCTGCTGGGAGGAGCTGAAATGGCTCCACTCAGCTGAAAGTCTGTGTTTGGGGGGTGGGGCTGTCCGAGACCCGCACTCTCCAGAGTGCAGGTCTCGCTCCCCTTCACCCTCCCCCCTCTCCGTGGCCTCTCCCAGGCCTCTGCCAGCAAGCAGGACCTCAGGCCAATGGATCTCCCCGGCTGTGAAGTGGGCCCAGATGTTCCCTACCCAGGATCGCAGCCTGAGCTGGGTGCACAGCCCTCTTTTGGGAGGAGGGTTGCTGCTCAGGCACGCTGATCTGGCCCTGAGGGCACACACTCCTCAGTAGGCTCCTTCACAGATCTCTCCCCTGTGCCCGGGGCAGCGAGATAGTGACCTGGGTGTACGGGGTCTGCAGGCCTGTCCCCTGGGTCCTGGAGATCAATCCCTGACCCTTCCAGGGGGAGGGGCGCTGGTCTTGAATCACCTAAGGGTGCTCAAGCTGGATCGATTTCACTCCACCTCAGGATTTGCTGGTTTGTTTGTCCAAGGCCAATTTGTACTGAGTTCTTCTTGAAGACTTTGTGCATATCCACTTCACTCTTCCTGAAAATTCCCATTTCTCTACCTGAGTTAATTACTTTGTTTTCTAGTATAATTATGTTCCCTTCAATATTTTAATACATTAATCATAAATAATCCCTTTGCATTTCCTAATTAAGACAGTTCTAATAAGACAGTTCTAATATCTGTCATTCATGAACCTCATTCTCATAATTTCTCCATTACGACTTTGGTTATCCATTTGGGACACCCTGTAATTTTTCATGTTAGACAGACATGCTTGCTTTGATGGTTACCCTTGACTTATCATTTCATTTTATGTATTTTCCTCCCTGTAAATGTGCACACGTGATGCTGTCCAGGCCTGTGTTGTGGAAGTCTGTGTGACTCCAGTGAGACTTGCATGTGGAATTCATTGTTGAAGTGGCTCCAAGTGTTGAAGGTTTTCTCTGCTACGAGCACAGAAGGGTTTAGACACCTCCACTGATGCACAGTGTGTGTTTCCTGCCTGGCTTTCTGTTTACACCCCATATTCTAGAACCAATCTATTTCAGCTTGCCCAGGTTAGTCTGGATTTTCCATTTACTGACAGTGGTGGATGTGGTGGAAGAGGGTGACCCGAGGCGCCTTCTCTGACTTCCTCCCTGAGCCGGGTCCCAGGCAGGCATCGTGCCACTTGGTCTGCACTGTGCCCTTGCGTGTTGTCCTGTCCTCCGCAAGAGGTGATGCTGCCCTCGTACGCTCCTCAGTGTCTTTCTTTTCCAGGTCCTTGTCTCCCACAGCTGGGGCAGTTCTCCATCAGCCTCTCCAGCTCCCAGATTTGCTGCTTGTCCCTGAAGATCAAGCCTTTGTTCTTGTGATGGGGAGGAGTCCTGTTTCTGAGCATAACTTCGGCGGTGACATCTCTTCCACTCCGATTTCCTGCGAGGTTCCCCAGTGGGCGAGGACACTGCTTTCTGCTTCTTGTCCCCTGAAGAGTAATTGTGTAGCTCTGTAGGAGACAGGGGAGGTGGGTCTGAATGTATTTCATAAATGTGCTCTCCCTCCCTCTAAGACAGAATCACCTGTGAGTGCACAACTGTTTGTCATGTAACTTCCATTGTCTGAAATATTAAATAAAATGTGCTGATCTATAGCTCGTGCAGATGTGCTGATGTAAATGATGATGTTGCTGTTGTTGTTCATGTAAAAAGAAGAAGAGCTGTTTTCTCAGCTGCCTCCTTCTCCCAGGTGAAGAGAAGCTTTATCCTTAATAGTATAGAATTGGACACAAAGCCAACATCAATCAGTAGCTTAATAAATAAGTATTTTTTGTAAATGACCCATTAGAACACTCCATCATTAACCACAATGACTGTCTCACGCACACTGCAGCGTGGCTGCATTCACAGTATGTGCTGTGAGTAAAATAAGCAAAAAGACATCTGCTACCTGATTCCACTATTATAAATTCTAGAGAGTGCAAAGTGAAGTAACATGAACTATATTAGCAGGTGCCTGGGTAAAGGGAGGGAGAGTGATGGGAAAGCAGGAGAAATTTTAGAAGGACAAGTGTAAACATTAAGGGAAATCAATTTCCTCAATATCACAGACAGGGTGGTGATGATGTTAATACCTTTAATTTGTACAGTTAAAATATGGTAAGGAAACTGTACATCAATTATACGTCATTAAATACGAACAATTAATAGATGATTTCTTAGGGAAGGAGTGATGGACAAATAGGTAAAAATAAGAGAAACATTAAGTACTTCAAAATGCTTCTGCATTGACCCTGTGGGTTCCAAATATTTTGCACATATTAAGTAAAAATAAGAAGGCAAAAATTTGCTTTATATTCTTATTACAGAATCCAGGTTCCAAAAATCACCCTGGTCTGCAGTGGGTTCCAGAGATGGGACTATAGGACTAGACACTGAGCCCAAATCTTCCCAGATATATGTGTCTGGACATACCACACAACATCTATATGCATCGAGGGATACATTTACATCTGCAAAATACATGAAACATTGACACCTACAATACATGTTTTATGTGTCTCTGTAAATTAGATAAGTGAACAGGAGTTAATAATTTATCACAGAACAGTTATGCAGTTTTTCTCTGCTCTTTCCCTACCACAGGAATCCCCACCCCAGAGCTTGCTATATAGCAGGGGACATGCAAATAGGGCCCTCCCTCTGCTCATGAAAACCAGCCCAGCCCTCACCCTGCAGCTCTGGGAGAGGAGCCCCAGCCCTGGCATTCCCAGGTGTCCCTATTCGGTGATCAGGACTGAACACAGAGACTCACCATGGAGTCTGGGCTCAGCTGGGTTTTCCTTGTTGCTCTGTTACAAGGTAATTCATGGAGGACTAGAGATATTGGGCGTGTGAGTGGATGTGAGTGAGAGAAACAGGGTTGTGTGTGGCAGTTTGTGACCAGGATGTGTCTGTGTTTGCAGGTGTCCAGTGTGAGGTGCAGCTGGTGGAGTCTGGGGGAGGCTTAGTCCAGCCTGGGGGGTCCCTGACACTCTCCTGTGTAGCCTCTGGATTCACCTTCAGCAGCTACGCGATGTGCTGGGTCCGCCAGGCTCCAGGGAAGGGGCTGGAGTGGGTCTCAGCCATTGGTAGTGGTGGTGGCACATACTACGCAGACGCCGTGAAGGGCCAGTTCACCATCTCCAGAGACAACAGCAAGAACACGCTGTCTCTGCAAATGAAGAGTCTGCAAGCCGAGGACACGGCCATGTACTACTGTGCGAGAGACACAGTGAGGGGACATCAGTGTGAGCCCAGACACAAACCTCCTGCGGGGGCGCGTGGGGACACCAGGGGGCAGGCGGGGCACAAGGAGCAGAGTCAGCCCAGGGCAGGTGCAGGTGGAGGGTAAGGGCTGGTTTCCCCTCAGGGTCATGGTTTCCTCTCCATAAATGGTTTCTCTGGGGAACTTCTCTGAATTCACGATTCTGTGCTTCCCTCTGCAATCTCTGAGTTAGATACGTTTGTGGTCATGAGAGAAAATATTCTCACCTGCACAGAAGGCAAAGAGTGGCTTCCAGTCACTTTGTCCTGTCCCCAAATGTACATTAATTATCTAAACTTCTGAATAAGTCCGAAAATCGATAAAAGATTTTCTCTTGGACAACACAATGCAGCACAGCACACTGAAGTGAAAGTTCCTTCTGGCCAGCCAGCAGGATAAAGTATCTGCAGGACGTCAGGGGCAGAGGGAGTCAGCATCTGAGCAAGAGAAGGAAGACCCCGTGTCCCAGCACCAGGCTCACAACATCGATTATATCTGATGGGGCAGACGGACCCCACCAACATTTAGCATAGATTTTGACTCTGATGGTGTTACACACATGCACACACAGGTGCACACCCGCACGCACACATACACACACACATACACACTAAGTGAACATGGGAAGGGTTACTCCCTCCATTACTGAGGTGTCTGCAGAGCAGGGCAGGCCTCCAAGACAGTCCTAAGTGGCTTTGTAGGGCAGGAGGGGAGACTGGCTCAGGTTTTCACAACAGTTCCCTGGTGGGCAGGGAGGGGCTCTCACTCCCAGGAGGGGTCTGGTGGGGTCTGGGCCTCCGACAGCCATCTCGAGAGAAAGCACCTGTGATTCCTTCCTAGAATTCCCATGAGTCAGGCAAACAGGGAAGATGAAGGATGGGCCTTAAGATGTCAGTGGGCAGACATCAGCTAAGACACTCTGAATTCTTATTCCACTCAACTACTTGGTAGGATGGGGAGTGAGCTGTGTGGGGGAGGGGCACTCCTGTAGCCCTGCCTTGGGCTTGGCAAAGCCATTGTGTGTGACCAAAATGTTTGTACACCCATAATATTGTGAAATAAAAAAATAAATGATAAAAACAATAAATATTTTGGATGAAGAATATGCTGGTTTTGTTAATTTGATCAATATGGAAGGTATACATATATGAAAACACATTTTGCGAGATTAAATATATGCATTATTTGTCTATTGAAATAAAATAAAATTTTTAAATGTAACAGTACA